AGGTTTTATATCTTTTATTGGTAACAATATATATGAGGGAATTTTTAACTACAACCGAAAGCAATCCCTAAAGAGTAACTGCAATATTTTAGAAGAAAATAAATATGAAAATATTGAAGAAAATGTTAAAAAACTAAAAATCAAAACTTAAGAGTTTCTGTTCAACGTTAACATCGACAACAGGAAAGCAACAAATACTGCAGTGGTAAAAAATCAAGGGGAACATAACATGAAGAAAAAGAAGAAGGATAAAATCTTAGAAATCTCATGTAAAATAGCAGATTACATGAATAATACTAAAAAAGAAATAGATAGGGAAATTAAATAGACAGATATAAAGAATTTGGTTCAGGTATTTGCCTTTAATTGTTAACATCATGTATTAAAAATAATTGAAATAGGATTTAGCAATGCCATTCAATACCAACTGAATTATAAAAAGATTTGTGGAAAATAAGAAGGAAAAAAGAAATGAAGAAGAAAAGAGCGAAATAGAAACAGAATAGTAAAAGGGAAAAATTGTTTAGGTATCTATCTTTTACTGCTAGCAACATATACCAACAAAATTATTATAGGATTTGTACTAAAGACAGAAAAAAAGAGTAGACAACATAAATAGTACAAACAAAGATAAGAAAGATACGACATCATTTGTAACCGTCACTGAAACCAATCCCAGAAAAGTGGCTCAAATATTTGAGAACAAAACAAATCAATCCCAGAAGACTAATTGAAATATTTGAACAAAACAAAGACAATAGAAAAAGAAGAAATACTGCAGTAGTAAAAAAGCAAGGGAAAGACAGTATCAAAATAAAGGAAGTAAATAAATTCTCAGAAACTTCATAAACATAAAAATGAGTTCAACTGGCGAACCAACAACCGTTGACAAAACATGATAAGTAAAACAACATAAATCTTAAATAATCCGGGTAACGTCAAAGCTTGCTAAATCACTATAAACAGTTACTTAATACATGGTAACAATAAAAGAAAAATACTACATCATTACCAAATGAGAAGTCACATTAGACAGAGAACATAGTGTTGACAGATTAATATAACAAATAGAATAAAAACCCAATTTTTACTCAAATAGCAATAACTTATATAATATAAACACTAAACAATATTTTACAAATAATATTAACAAACTTAATACAAACATAATCATAATAACATAAAATAGTGAGCACATATATTAACAACTCAATATATACACTTAAGAAATCATAGTAATATAATACATACAATTTTAAGAGCAGTTGGAAATAATGTGAAAGAAGTAAGAAAGAAGTACCTTAGAGCAATAACGAAAGTGGATAGAGTTGATGCAGGAGAAGTAAAAAAAAACTCCAAAACAGAGGCAATAGAAAAGAAAAAAAAAACTCACTATTGAAAACTAAAGAAAAGAATGGAAACAGAGAAGATAGGCTGTAAATGTAATTGTATGACAACAAAAACAGAAACAAAGCAAAAGATAGTAAGCATGAAAGAGAAAACAATATATTTATACAAAGAAGATAAACTTTTGAGCATGTGGCGGTAGCAAATACTGCAAACAAAACTTAATACGTTTAATAATTAGTTGAAAATAGGTGTTACGTTGAATAATAACTACTGCAGAACAGAACAAATAACCTACAGACGGTGAAAAAAAAAATCCGTTAGAAAAAATTACCTTGCACTAAAAATAAATGTCTAAACATTCCTGACTAATATAACCTGCAAACAAATATGAAAACACGTAATAATTAGTAAAAACAGGTGTTACACAACATGACAACCAACAGGAAACAGAACTAATGAACAGAAGACAGTGAAAAACTACAAATCCCTTACAGAAAATTAGAGGATAAGGAAGAACACATATAGAAACAAATAAGGAAAACGACAATAGAACATCAAATGTGCAGTGAAAAAGAATATGAACAAAGAACAGATAAAAAACAACCGAAATAGAGAAAATAGGGGGAAAAAAAGAAAAATGGGTTATTTCGAAGACCTAAACAACCAAACACAAAAAAGAAAGAGAAGAAAGAAAGAAAAAGAAAAGAGATAACAAAACCCTACTATGAAATAGGAGTAAAAAATTTGACATAATGAAATCTTAAAAAATCGATAGAAAAAAAAAACACGGAATCTATTCTGAATGATAACAAAAAAAGAGGGGAAAAAGGGAAAATGAAACCCTGATATAAAATAAGAGGGAAAAAAATTGACACAACGAAATCTTACAGAATCTGAAAGGAAAAAAAAAACAACAGAGAAACCAAGAACAACAAAGAAGGAAAAAACAAGAAACATAGACCAAAATTATTCCTAAAAAACCATCGAGAAAGCAAGAAGACGCATAATAAAAAAAATAAAAAAACTAAAAAAAACTAAAAAAGAAGAAGGAGAAAACGAAGAAGAATAAAACAACAAAACAACAAAACTAAAAAAAAGAACAAAAAAAAAAGAAAAAAAGGAAAAACCATTCGCTGAAAAAATTAATAGAAAAAATTCCTGGAAATAAAAACCAAATCAAAAAATGAAAAAAAACTAACAGATAACACTAACAAATAACAGATCTGAAATAAAAACACTAACAGATAACAGATCTGGAAAAAAACTGATAAAAAACAGAAGAAAAAATGAAGCCAAATCCAAGGAAAGAAAAACGAAAAACAAAACCAAAAAACAAAACAAACATAAAAAATGAATCCCAAAAGCCTCATGAAAAGGAATAAAGAGAGAAGGGGAAAAAAAAAAAGAAATGCACAGAAATGACCAAATCGAGAAGCTTGACGGAAAGAAACGGTGAGAAAACCAAACAAACAAACAAAAAAATCCCAGAAGCCTCACGAAAAGGAAGAGAGAGAAAAGGAAACAAAATAAATGGACATAAATGAAGAAGTCGAGAACTCTCGCAGTGAGAAAAGAAAGCCAAGCCAAACAATCAAGCGTAGAAGCTTCATCAAGGCTCTATTCCGAAGGATAAGACAAAAATACTAAAACAGAAACCAAAGCAGAAATAAACAACCAATGATAAAACGATAAAAACAAAAATTTAGGACACAGCTGGAATTTTTCCAAAGCAAAGGGAGAGGAAGGACTGAACACTATTTTAAAAACAGTAACTCGGGTGCCTTATGTATAATGTTAGATAAACGCTTTATATATTTCAACTAAAATGCGCGTTTTGTTTGAAACGGCGTTTGGTTGCATTTTATTTCTTTTGGTTGTTTTTTACTTTTTTTTACCCTTTCATTTAAGCTTTGATGGTTTTTTTTACCCAAATAATTTATTTATTTATTCAATATAGTACTTTCTTTTACCCTTTTTTATTTTTGTCCGGAAATTTAATGTTCCTTTTATTTTGGTTCTTTTTACCCTAAAACATGTTTATTTTTTCATTTTGGTCCTTTTTGACTTTTTTTTTAAAAAATTTTCACTGAAACTTTATTTTTTTCGTTTTACTTCTTTTTACCCTAAAACTTATTTATTTCTTTATTTTAGTCATTTTTTTACCTTTGTATTATTTTAGTTATGAAATTTTATTGTTTCGTTTTGATTCCTTTTGCTTGCAAACTTATATATTTCCTTGTTTTGGCCTTGTTTTTATTTTTTCCTTGAAACTTTATCTTTTTTCATTTTGGTCAATTTTACCTTAAAACTTATTTATTTTTTCATTTTGGCCCTTTTAACCTTTTTTTGGGTTTTGTATTGAAACTTTATTTTTCTCCATTTTGGTTTCCTTTTTTGCCCTATAAGTTATTTGTTTCTTCATTTTAGTCCTTTTTTACACTTTTATTATTATTTTGATTCTCAATTTTTTTTCCTAAAACTTATTTATTTCTTCATTTTATCCTTTTACATTTTTTAATACTTTTTCCCGTTTTGGTTCCTTTTGCCTTAAAACTTATTTATTTCTTCATTTTTATCCCTTTTGACCCTTTTTTTATTTTATTTTTGCCAATAAACTTTTTTTTTTTCGTTTTGATCCCTTTCTCTTAAAACTTATTTATTTCTTCATTGACCCTTTTTTTCTGGCTTCTTTGCCCTAAAACTTTACTTTTCTTTTACATTTTGGTTCCTTTTTCGAATTTTATATTTAAATATTATATACTTTTAATAATAATACAGTAATTAAAACGTACCACGTGAAGTTCAACTAGTATAAAGATAAAGATGAAGATAAAAATAATAGTTGAGGTATAAAATTTGCGGAGTACTGATAAAGACACCACACCAATAACACCCGAAGCCTAAAAACAAGTAGAAAGTAAAAGCAAAGCTATAGATACTAGAGTAACTGGCAAGATAAAAAAAGCCCCCAGAACCAGCACTGAGTTAGATGGCTAACTTCTCTCGAAAATTTACATAGACGACGCAATAGAACACCAGTCCCCAATAAAACTATAAGCATTCAAAAGAGTCACCTTCCCAACTTTACTCGTAAAATCATAGAAATTAATGGGAATCATAAGCCCCTAAATATCTTCACAGGTACTCCGGAGTCTCCAATCCGGCTCTTCTTCATTCAGCGCACGAATCACTTTGCTGCCAATACAAACACACACACACACGGACCGCAATACGAATGTTGAGCCAAAGAAACTGCTTCTCTCAGCGCAAGAGCCTCGCTTCCTTTCTCCTTCCCACCTTAACCCAAATATGCTAAATTTTCCCTCCAATGCTTTTAGCGCCTAACATCTAGTAAGTATACAATTTGTAAAACTGAATTTGCTGGTAGGGAAAAACAAACCCTAATATTTTAGACACTTTTGATTGCTTCATGAACAATTTCAAACCAATTCACCAAATTTGTGAACATGAAAGTTTGGTAGTTCACCTAATTTAAAAAATTGACATTTTTAGTATCGTTCTTATCAGCAAAGACCAGAATAACCAAATAAGTGAACATAGGACGACGCTGGAAAACCCAAAACTAGTAAACAAAATGCACAAAACAAACTTGATGTCTCATTACATAAATGAGTGTTGACAATCACGTGTACAAATAACTTTTCTATCATTTATATGGGCCTAATAAACACCAACAAAGAGGGAGGAACAAGGAAAGAAAAACATAGGCAAAAAATAATAATAATAACAAGATTTCCTGCTTAAGAATAACAAGAATAAAGCAGGGTCTGGTCCAAAAAAAATTTCAGTAATCTCAAAAGCATCATTACCACCCTTCAATTTAATTATCAAATAATTGCTAGTCCTCCCTCTATGGTTATTTATTTAGAAAGAATCTCAATCCTAGCTAACTGCACATGCACAAGATATGGTACACTATTGTCTCTTCTCTTCTTCCAATTTCCCACTCCTGGCAAATCTGCCAGTCTTTTTCATCTGTCAGTCTTTTTCATCTGTCATGACTCTCAATATGGAAAGTATGCTTTGGGGAAACCATTAAATAAGGCCTGTATACGGATTGTATGCTTGAACAGGCATACCTGAGCCATAGGGATGGACAGTGGCTCCATGAGGGTTTCCAAAAGGATTTGCAGATTGTTGTTGAGGACCCATCATCATCATTTGCTGTTGATGCTGGAACATAAACGCCTGCTGTTGGTTGGCCATGGCTGCCATTTGCACTGAATGTGGTGCAGCCACTGCTCTAGAAGCGGAAAATGGATCAGGTACTGGTTGTTGCATCATGTGACCCGACACTGGAGCAGGCTCCCAAGGATTATAGCTCACATTCTGGCTGTTTCTTCTGATTGCGTCGTCGTATAGGCTGTCCAGTGTAAGTTTGTCCAATCCCCCCGCCTTATATATATATCAAGAGTCATTATCAGCAGTAATCCTTCAGTAGTCTCTTTCTTTTTTAGGTACCAGTAATATCTCAATACTTAAAATCTAGTATTTTTCTTAAGTAGCAAGCGGGAGGGGGGAGAAAAATCTATTGTTGGAAACCCCGACCAGTAGGGAAAATATGTATACAAATGTGTGTGTTTTGTGTGTCATGGCAACCTCAATATCGAGCATATTGAATAATGTGGTAGCTAATCAACAGTTATTCTAGGTAAATGTATGAAAAGTTACCAGTTTGCTAGTAGCTGTGGCAGTTTCATTTGAGCTTGGAGCTGTTACAAGTGCTAATTCCCAGCCTGTAGTTCCGTTTGTTTGTGTTGAAGCCATAGAAGGTTGATCAGCTGCAAAATTATTACAATGTCTCCAGTTTTACTCGATTCCTCAAATATAAGGTTTACTCATTTGTTTTTCTTAAAAGAGTTAAGTTTTGTGGAACAGAATTAGCTCAAGTTGACTAGAAAAGGGACTAAGATTCATTGGAGAAAAACAACCCGCTAAAGAAAAAGCAAGAAGAAAGAGTACTTACTGATTGGAACAATGGCCAAAGCCAAGGCATTCTTCTCATCTAATTCCTTAGTATCGGGAGTGGGATCATTCAAACCCTAGCAACAAAGAAAAAGCATCTTGTAAATAAACATTTAGAGGATCCAGCTATTTTCAAAGTTCTCAAAATAGAATAAGCCAACTACAAGGCAGAAAAATAGATCAAACCGTCCAAAAATTACCAGAAGATTGGGTGGTTCAGCAACAGGTGCTTCAACTTTTACAGGTTCCGCTTCAGGTGGAGGTGGTGATGGTGGACGTGTCTCCTCCATCTCTGGAGCCTTTTTGTACTCTATGGCCAACACTTCCTTGGGAGCAGCAATCTTATTGTCAACCACCTAATTGGTCAAATGTAAAGTCGATGGAAATTATTTTAATTTGCAACGAATTTACCTTAGTTAGAACGGATTAATACTGGGCAAGGGCTTTAAAGAAAAGAACATGGATCATGAGATAAGATATAGATGAAAAGGAAAGAGCAGTATAATATGGCAAATAATTTTTAATTGACTACCATTTGAAAGCTCCCCGTCATATAAAAAAAGATTATCAGAAGGCTCAAGGATATCAAATAGTGTATCCGGAAATACAGTAGCTTCAAAAAGTTATTCAGAGAAATAATTTAAAAAGTACCAAATAGTCTAGCAGCGAAAGATATTTAATTGACTTATCAATAATAAACCATAGGAAATGGTTTATTTTCCCTTCAATTGAAATCGAAAATCCATGGGAAATGTTATCACCCTGAAAAATATTCCCCTATAAAATCACTCAATTAACAGATATACTGTTGGATAGTTGATATAGGTATTATAAGTTTCATACCTGATCCTTGCGAACTGTTGAAACCCGGGGCGCATCTCTGACATACTCTTCCATGGCTTGTAAAAATGACGCAGGGGGCTACATTATCAATAAATTTTTAGCTCAACAAACTCTCTTTTTTAAAACGATTTTTAAGAAAGGAATCCCAGCAATGGAAGAAACCGTGAATCAAATAACCACCTGCTCAATCTTGATAAACCTCTCTCCACGCCCAATGTCAATACTTTTACATATCTCGTAAAATTCTGAAAGTCTCTCCGCCTGAAATTGCACATATTAATGCCTGTGGATATAATAATTCTCTCCTCCCAAGTAAAAAATTAGTTAATTCCCAGAAGATTCCCAGAAGATTTACCTGCTGGCCGGCCCTCCTATATATATCCAGAGCCTTCACAGCATTGTGGCGTTCCATCTCAAAGAACTGTGAGACATACAGTTATCACATGTAAGTTTGCACAAGCTAAGATCCCCATCCTAACAAGACAAAATGATGTCTCTTACCTTGTCAACCAGATTAACTGTACCATCACTTATAGCCTGATAAACCCTAATGCTTTCTGTAGCAACCTATGTGAAGAAATAGAAGAAAATCAGAAGAAAACACAATAATAAGATCGAAAAACAATAGTGACAAAGATAAGCACAAAGCCCTTATAAGGAAAATGCTAAACAAGAAGAATGGATTCAAATGTTACATACCATCGACAGTGCTAACTGAATCACATAATTATGAACTGCAGCTCCTTGTGGCTGCACAAGAATAACAGATATGAAGATCAGAAAATAACAAGATTTGGTAGGAGACGCTGCACTGTACAAGCATTGTAAAATTGGTTGTAATTGTGGTCAAGTACAGGCCCAACTTCAGAATTGAAAATTACTTGGCATCCAAGAACACGAAAAAGAAGCTGTTGCAGTGCAGGCAAGTGCTCAAGCAATTCTGCAGTATCCAAATCCTTGGTCCTCTGCACCAAAAGTGCTATACATTCACAACTCGATCTAATTTCTTGAGTAAATGCAGAAAGAGAAGGACGGAGATAAATGTTTAATAGGGTCATTACATTATGGAGTTTATTTCTTTAACTAGATCCACTAAATTAGATATCTCAATTCGCAGTTGATGGAAGGACATTAGTAGACAAGATTTAGTCTAAGTGGAGATGTTGCAATTCAGGGGAATTAGATCCTAGTAAGCAACCAATTGATCACGACAAAATAACCATTTGAAAATAACATCATCCCACAGCATGACCCATACTGCTTCTTAGAAAAGATAACATGATATCTAGAAAATATACATCTAAGCAGTAAGCAATCTATTAAAACCAAAAGACCATAAGAAAGAAGCAATTGGAAGAAAATAAAATTCTTACTGCACGGTCTGTCTCAACATCGTATTTCAGAACACGGAAGCATTCCAGCCTCTCCTCCAAGAATAAGGCATAAGTACGGACCCAGGCAGAATAATCCCATGCTGGCAGCCGACAACAAAGAATTCCATGACTAAGAATCCAATGTCCTGGTAGAAAAGCATTTTAATAAAGATGTGGTGTCAGGGAATAGGAAGCTACCATTTGGGCTGGAATCATCTTTAAAGTGAGCCAAGTTAAGCATATGGCTCCTGCTTCTTCCATAATTAATGAGTTCCTCATGAAATGTGGGGTCCACTTCCCTCAAAGCACGATGAATAACAATGAGAGTTTTCAATGCAACCTAAATGCAAAGCCAATAGACAGTTAAGCATACTTTAATTCATGAACATGTGCAGGAAAAAAACAAGTTTAAGATGCACTTTTTTCATTTTGAATAATAAATAAGATGAACACTAAACCTAGTGTAAATAGAGATATAGAACAACCATACTGTAACCTAATTTTTTAAAAAACTAATGATAAAATCAAAGCTTTTTGTCAACCTAACAAAACTTACGTTTTCTAGTCTTGTAAGATATTTACAATGTCAAAACTTCCATAGAAGACAAAGTTGTATAAAGTCAAAGTTGGCAAGTTAGAATTTTATTTCTATTCTATCTACAATGGTATATGGGGTAATTATAGACCAAAATGAGATTGATTTTTTTTTTCTTTTATTGTCTCCTTTAGGGGAAAGTAAAACGGCATATAAACAAGGGTGAGCTCATAACAAACTAAGGCAACTCTATTTATATGCTCGTTTCAGTTTCCAATATTAGTTCTTCGTGGGATTTCTTAGGAGAGTAAAATCACTAAAATAAATGTAGCGTCCTATTGTATTAATCTCCCTTAGTAGTAGAGAGCTCTGAACAGCATGTAGAGTTTTTAATTCTGTTTTTGGTCAACGTGTTAGTTTCACAGCAGTACCAAGATACAAGCCATACTAGCAAAGAAACTATATGCCTGTTAAGTGTTATGAGCACCTATATATTTACCATGCCTGCTTGATGTTTAAACATAGATGGCCCGATTAAGAGTAACTCATACATTGCAAGTCCTAATCCACTGCAAGTTTTGCTTCTTCAACTTTACAATGTGCATAGTAATACAATTTTTCTATAGCATGAAGATTCAAACTCTATGCTCATCAGCCCATGACAAACAAAAAATGAATAACTCGAAGCCATACCGCCCAATTATGTGTTCTCGACAACCTTCTCGCCAGAGCATGGATACAGTACGCAACATCGGCTCGAGGTCTAGTTGCTGAAATAGCAGCAAAAATAGCTGCGAGGGAAAAGAGAAACAAATTATATCAGGTGCCCTGTCCCATCTGTTCCTTTCTACATTAGAGAGTAAACAAGGTAATCCGATCTGAATGAGTGAGAGAGAGAGAGACAGATACAGAGACAGAGACAGAGACAGAGAGACAGGGAGAGAGATCTACCTCTGATGTGCTTTTCCTTAGCAGGGCGTTCAACATGATTTGTGGCTTTGACTATAGCAATGTCCAATTCCTGAAAAATTTATCACCCCAAGATGAATTTCTAATCTACTTTAATCAGATAAACCAACATAAATAACACAAACAAATCTTAATACCTTGTAATCACTATTGACTTTAGCCAATGAAACTGTAGTGGTGTCCTTAAGGGCTCCAAGCGCTTTCCTCAAACTTTTCTGAGTACCTCCTGACATTCTCCCCTCTCTCCCTCAACAACCAAAATCTACATCAAAACCCAACCAATTCAATCCAATTCCGGTCTGAAAACCCCCCAATTCATCACAAAATTTGAAAAATTCCACGCCTCAAAAAATTCAACATCAAATCACAAACACACATCATATCCAATAGATACATCCATACATAACAACCCTCATCTCTAAGTTCATAATTCAGATCAGATCACACATGATTAACATTAATATATCAAGATTCAAGAACCAAACTTCAACGAGCTCTAATCAGTCCTCATAAGTCGACTGAATCTCCATTAAACCAAATCGCGAGAATTCAGCGACAAAATATATGTCTAAACAAGCAAAAAGGGGAAAGTAAATTTGAATATTGAAGCTACACGAGTCGCAAGATAACAACAAAAGAAACGAACTACGAAATCAAACATAAGATTAGGATGTAAAACAGCTCAGAATATTATCCAAATGAGATCAAATATTCGAATTCAATCGACGAAGAACAAAAAAAAAAATCAAACATGGAAAAGAACACAGAAGATGAAGAAGAATAAGAACAGAAAGCGTACGTACACAGATCAGAGAACTCGAATCAACTGAATCCAAATCACTGGGAGAGAGAGAGAGAGAAAGAATGGAGGTGTGGGTGGCTGGTCGAGAGCAGAGAAAAGTCGACCAGAACAAATGAGCTCGGTTTGGTTGGGTCGTCGGCGTCTATGACAAATACTTTCTTTTTTTAATCATTTTTTTCCTTGTCACTATTATTTTCTTTTAAATTTATTACTGCCAAAAAGGAAAATTGTAATAATATTTTACTATTATAATACATTCTCTCTCTTCGCCACTTTCTCTCTCTGCCTGTCAGAAAATACGGCATTGTAAGAACTTGTACTATCTGGCTCTCTCTCTCTCTCTCTCTCTTCTTGCAGTTAAGACGGGTCTCGATTCCCTTCGCCACGTTGTACAATTGCTTCGACTTTAGTATAATTACAAATTTAACCCCTGAAATTTGAATTATTAAAAACTCAACCTGCTATTTTTTTTTAAAATGAAAGAATCTACCATTTTTTGGTATTATGACTTGATCCTTCGTATTGAAGTAATGTTGCAAATTTTACTGCTTGATTTTTTTTGCTCGTGCCTAAATGGGATTTTTTTCCCTCATTCCTAATAGTGTTCTTACAAAATGGGGTCCAAATTACGAGTGAGGGCAACTCAGTTAGGTGTAAGCCCTTCCACCTCAATCATACGTTGAGAGTTCGAGTCACTCTGAGTCCCACTTAAAAGTGGTGGCGTTCCTTCTATCCTTGTATAAAAAAAATATGGTGTCCAAATAGTACTTTCTAATGAGAAATCTTGATAAATACTCCTTAAAAGTACATATATCTCAATTTGTATTCCTTATTGCTTGATTAATACCCTTTTTAGTTAAATAACTAATGTTTAGGCTAAAATGCCGAACCCTAAATAGGGCCTGCAAACCATAAAGAAGAGCATTAAATGGTCAATGACAGCTCAGCTCTAAAAGCCATGTTAGCAAACAGTTTCCAAGGAGACGACCGCTACGAGGAGACATCTGATATGAGTAGGAGGTCGACCGTTGTAAGAAGGGGACATGAGGTCGACCGCACTCATGGGCAATAACGAAAAAAAGTAAGGGAAGCTTGTACAGAAGACGAGGCTACGCAAAGATAAAGATCTGAAGGATTTCTTCTGAGATTTACTATTTGTAATCTAAAGATATGAAATTCAAATAAGGAACCGTCTTGATTGATTGTGATCTTTATCTTTTAAGAAACTATCTTAAAAGATAAGGGAAATATCCTCAAATTTGAATAGGGAAACAAACAGGGGCGGTGACTTGAGGTAAAAATAAGAGATTATAAGTCAAAAAATCTCTAAGTCTCATTTTGAGCATTAATGCGTGTAATTCCTCTAAAGATAGTGAAATTTATTTTCTCTCCACAGTGGACGTAGCTCTTAAATTGAAAGTGAACCACTATAAATTGTGTATGTTCTTGTTTAAATTCTGCTTTTAATTGTGTTTTAACTCATTTAATTCGTGCGAACCGTCAAGAAATTCGCTATTATTCTATTAACGAATTTTCACTGTCAACAACTACATTAATAAAAGGATACTAATTAAAAGTACGAGATAAAAATCCATACACATATATTTTTTAAAAATAAGTTTAACAATTTTTTCTCCACCGCGCCTTGCCTTGCGCTGCTGCTACCCATTGCGGCCGCGTGATAGGTTGGCTAAATGGGCCCTCCTACGAGATTTTGGCCTCGTTCACTTCGCGAATTCGAGTTGTGATGTGATATTTTCTGAGAGCTTTTCACTATAGTAGAAAAAGTTAGATGTGATATTTTCTGAGAATTTTTTACTGTAGAAACTTAAAACTGAAAACTTGAATCGGGAAAATGAACGAGACCTTTACTGGTTCCTTTTCTCTTTCGTTTTGAGGTATCTCCATAGGTAGCCACCATGTTTTAGCCTTTAGGCCTCTCAATAAAATCCACATTCTCATTTTTTTTTTTAAAAAGAAAAAAAACAAGGTTTTATGTGTTTTATTTTATTTTACTTTTTGAAATAGTTACTATAACTTGAGTTGATTTCAATGATTTGTAACTTAACAAATGCAATAGTGAAGTCATTTTGACCATTAACCGATCCTTGTTTGGATATGCGTTACAAGAACAATTTTCTCGAATATATATATTTATATATATCAGATGTGAATTTGGAAACCACGCAAAGTGTTAAAAAAAAGTATTGGATGCTTATGTATTGACATATGAGCTATGAAAGCATTAAGAAATGGTTAAAAGGTAACTACGAAAATTTCCAACAATAAATAATTCGTCAAATTGGCATTAAGAAATGATTAACAGGTACCTATGAAAATTTCCAACAATAAATAATTTGTCAAATTGGGGTTTGATTAGTGTGAAATTTCAGGGGCTTAAAATTGAGATTCAATTAGTAGATGTGTTCTGTGAATATTTAAGTTTGATTAAATGATATTGTCGAATTTTCCAAAATTGTAGTATTGGTAAAATATATAATTTAATTAAACGTGAAATGTGAAACTAAAAACTAAGGTGATTAACACTTCTTTGAACTTTGAGCATTGTGACACTTTAGTATTTAAACTTTTAATTTTGACAAATCACTCCTTAAACTTTTGATTTTTTTTTGGGTAGTTTTAATCCTTGACAATAAAATTGACAAAAGATTTATGAAATTAACATAGATAATCATATTCATATTGTTTGATAACTGAAATTTTACATAAATAGTAACGTTAAGTGTAAAATATTCTTATTCTCAATGGGTTTTAATAGTAACAGGACATTTTGTACATAATATGACCATTTCTTAAAAAAAAATTCTAGTTATTGTACGATAACACGTAATTAACTCACTGTTAAATTTCAAAAACTTTTTGTCAATTATAGTATTAAGGACCAAAACTTTCAAAACATAGATGGTAAATGAAGGGTGCGTTCTTTTCAATAGTTTGAAATTTAAGATTGGAATTAAAAAAGTGAGTTTAATTAGAATTGAGTTTGAAATTTGAGTTGTGTGTTCACTTGGGGCCCGTTTAGTTCGCTGATTCGAGTTTTTAATTCGAGTTGAGATGTGATTTTATGTGAGAGTTTTTTACTGTAGCAAAAAAGTTAGATGTGATTGTTTGTGAGAGCTTTTTACTGTAGCAAAACTCGAATTCTAAACTCGAATCAGCGAAATGAACGGAGCCTTGATAGTTTGTGAATGTTAAACTTGAGTTTTGTGTTCACTTATGAAAAAAAACATAACTCCAATTTTAGCAAGTATTGACATGAATTTTTTTAAAGAGAGAAACCATAAACACATACATTCATAGATAATAAAAAAAACGTCCATAAGTTTAGCATTACAAACTCATATTAATAAGGTCGCTGAAATTACGAAACAAATATATGTAACTACCGATTGCGATATGCTTCTCATGCCCCCCACATGCTAACAGCCATCTCGTCCCTCAAAATATTCATTTCTCTACGATTTGCGGAGTTATGATTTTGTTCCATTGCCCGATCAGGATTGTGATTCTAATTAACATCTTGATCCGCATTCTCTGGATCAATATCAATAACTAGTACTCTGTCTCGTGTGTACTGGTTTAGTAGCTCATCGTTATGGTTGTACATATGTATGAAATTGTGAAGCACGGCATAAGCAATAGGAATTTGTATCTGTTTCTCTATTGGGTAATTATTTATGCACTTTAGTATGCGGAACCGTGCTTTCCAAACACCGAAAGTGCGCTCAATAGAATTTCTTAGGGACGAATGCGTAAAATTAAACAACTCACGCTGAGTTCAAGGACAGCCACGTCTTGCCCTATACTCTTGAAGGTGATATGTGCTCCCCAGGTACGGCGCCAAGAAACAATTGGTATTCGCGTAGGCAGAGTCTATAAGGTAGTATTTCCCTATATTAACCATTACAAATCAATAATTAAGTACGGACAACCAACCGACGATATTGCTTCTATATTGAATGTATAGCAAGGATTATTGTTCACATACCTGGCGGTGGATTTGGGAAATTTTTTTCTCTTGTACTTGTTGCATCCGCAAGAACGCGCGCATCATGGGCAGAGCCCTCCCATCCAGCTAAGATGTAAGTAAACTTCAGGTCAAATGAACATACCCCTAACACATTGTGGGAGTAAAAACCCTTCCTATTCCGCCATACTTCAGGGTTACCGGGTGGTGGGACACAAGGGACGTGAGTCCCATCAAGAGCTCCAACGCAATTCTGTAATCAATTAACAACAACTATTATTAATTACGTCAAGTAATTCGATAAGCATATGACTCAGTCTTACTGAGATACCTGAAACCATGGCAAATACTTGCTTCCATGCACCGCAATGACTGGATCATTAATGTTATAATTCGGGGGTGTTATGAAATCATGGCGCAGGTTAAATATTGCATCCAATACTACCTGGAAGTATTTGGAAATGGTGGATCCAGAATGCTGCAATTGGTCCTGTGATTCCCTATTGCTTTGGCTTTGGGAGACAATATATAGGAAGATAAAAAGCTGCTCGTCCACATTCATATTCCTAGTGGGTCTCAATAGTCCTCTACCTTCTAGTAGTGAACTAAGACGCTTAAAACAGTCACTGCCCATCCTAATCTTATTCTGAATTATGTCATCGTGGCCATCAAGCAAGTAATCAACACGCATAATACCTGTCAACGCGGAGGTGTGCTTAGGTCGAGGTGGGGGCCTCTCCATGTATGCGTGGTAATACCAGAGGACAGCCGCGACAGCAGCTGCCTCATATTCATCATCCGAGTCATCGCTCAATGTGTTGTTAGGCGACGCATTCGAATGCCCTCCATTTCACATTGTGACATGTTTGTCAAATATGTTATAATAGAGGTCACCTGCACAACATAGTTAAGGTTGAAATTGTGCAATAACATTATGGCAAAGTATTTAAAAAGTCACTACCTGGGAGGTGCCCATTTCATAACAAGTAAAGTTTTTAATACAAATTGCACCATGTGATCAGAACATAAATTGAAAGAAAAAGCAAATGAAGCAACAGTTCCGAAGTACAACACAACTCAATAAAAATGAATACAACATAGTTAAAAAGCCTCATAATTAAGAACAACGACCATCACTATCTAAGCCTCATAATTAAAAAGCCTCATAAATAGCTACTCCTC